TCAATATTTCATATGCTCATCCAACAAGATTTTGTATATTCCATATCAAGAGAAATGAGAGAAGTATCTATTTAAGCATTTCTATAACATCCACCTTCTACCTTTAAGTTCAAACTTTAAACCTGTACATATGATCGTTGCATGTTCTATCAATTTTTCAAGGAAATTTCTATCAAATTTTCAAGGAGAAATACATTTCTATTCTCATGTTGCCAAGTTCAAACTTATGAAATTTATGTAAACAGAAAGCCAATTCCAACAAGAGATTAAAATCCAACATCAAGAGGAGCAAGAAATGCAGCTCCAAACATATATTCCAAGACATAAAAATTTCCAGTAGGTATTCAAATAAGGAGCCACAATGAGAACCAAAACTGAGGACAAAAAACATGGCCTCCAAATGTATTTCCCAAACCATAAAAATGATTTCCAGTATGTATTTAAACAAGGGTCAGCAAAGAGGACAAAAATCGAGCCTCAAATGTATTTTTCAAACCATAGAAAATGATTTCCAGCTAGTATTTAAACAAGGGACAACAAAAAGGACAAAAATCGAGCCTCAAATGTATTTTCCAAACCATAAAAAATGATTTCCAGTATGTATTTAAAAAAGGGACAGCAAAGAGCATCAAAACCGAGCCCCAAGTATCAAAATAGCAACAATACATGACAACCATTTTTTTTAGCTTCAACATCAAATCAATTCAGCAGAGAGACCGCAGTCCGTAGGGCTAAAACAACTCAAAAACTTTCGTATAAAGCCTATGCAGTAACGAAAACTACTAACCAACACTCAACATAAAGAACCCACAAATAAGGACTCACGGCTAGGGACAATAAATAAAGAAAACCACTAGCCACTGATTCCAAAAATGACTAAAGATCCAACCACAACCAGACCATAACCAAGCCCAGCAAAGGCCAAGAGCATAATATAATTTCCTCGAAATTGAGCTTAGTTTTAAGCCAAACCCGTCCCAATATAGAGTTAAATCGAGTCCATCAAATGGCCAAAAGAACAAGCCATTATCAAGCCAAAACCAAATCACCAAACAACTATCCAAATTCTTAGAAGAAAAACTTCCAACATTTAAGGTCAAATAAAGGGGACAGCAGGAGGAATAAAGCTAAGCTCAGCAAAAGGGTTAAGAAAAAAAAAAAAAAAGCAAAAAAAAAGAAAACTGAATGCTCAACCCAAGAGTTCAAAATAGGATTCTCCATGAATCAAATAAATCCAAAAATCCCAATGCTAAAGTAATGCAATGAGAAAACAATAATTAAAAGAATTCAAATATTTCTTAAGATCTCAATATATCTTTTTAGCAAAAGAACCTGGTTTAGAGGCTAAAAAATTTATAAGTTTCCAAAAACCCATGCAGCAAGGAGAGCTGCAAGTTAAAAAAACCAAATAGATGCTCATAAGAAAGTTTTACTTCTATGCCAAAGAGATAATCAAATTAATATCTCAATTCCATTTGATCTATCCATTTCATAATTCAGAAGAGATTATCGTATAGACAGCTAGTCCAGAGATTAAACAACATTCTAGAAATAAATAAAGCCTAACCTTAACTCCTTGCTAATGCCAGAACGAAAGAATAAGAAAATCCTGAAACAGAAACTTCCAACAAAGAAAGAGCTCTCAACACTGTGTTTCTCCAAAATCTCCGAAGAGAAATCGTACACTAATCTTCCCCTCCCATGGGGTATTTAAATGTTAATTTGAAATTATGTTAATTAACGTCGGGGTACATAAAAGAAATAATTGGATTGATTTGAGAGGATCATTTCTTAAAGCTAAAATTGAGGTGAGAACTTTTACTTCTAAATTTTATAATATAGTGTTATTCTAAATTACTTGCATTAGAATGACATAAGTCAAGATGCCTTGGTACTACATATAAATTATTTTGTCTTATTATTCAAATTGATCATCTAGAAATGAATGTCAAGGATTTGCATAGTTACACTTCTTTAAGATATAAGCATATTATAAAAGAAAGACATTGAATGATAACTAAAATGCAAATTAAATAATTTATAATATGTTCGCATGTGCATGTTGATGAAGTTCACTTTTTTAAGATACAAGCAGATAAACGTTAAAATATCCGTGCACGTAAAATCAAAAAAATTATTGATATTGATATCTCTCAAGTGATACAACTTTAGACTATACTATGTGACTGTTGTATATAAAATAATATAGGATATGAAAATGTTATAATATGACATAATAAAAATATTGAAATATCTTGATTGATCATATTCTTAAATATAAATTGTCAAATTCTCATATAATGATTTATTAAAAAATTAACTAGCATACATATTATTTTATTTTTCATTTTATTACTATTGTTTAAAAATTAAGTATTTTTTGCGGTTATATCTTATTTTCTTTTAAATTGATCTTCCAAGTTTAATTATTTGATTAAAAAATAAGCAATAGAGAAGTGAATATCTACAGAAGATGTTAAAAACCTAACATAAGATAAATTTAAAACAGCTCTATTTTTTTTTTCTAGTTACTCTTTCATTTACTTTTTGAATCATTAGTTGTTAGTAAAAGAAAATAGAGATGAAAAAAAATAGATTTCACCGTCCAAATTTTTGTTCTCGTATAAGAAATTTCAAACCTTGGATCGAATCATGACACTATTTTGGCACTTTAGTTCTTCAATATATATTGGCATAGTTGTGTTGTTCACCTTCATGCTAGATTCTATCACAGATGCTACAACACTACATAGTTTATAGTTGATGAATTAGTGATAAAGAGTTACATAAACTAAGTTCACGGCAAATTTGCTTGAAGAAATTATTAACTCGAACGAAAATCAAAGCTACAATAAGAATCATGAATACCAAGTAATAGAAATACTTCAAATCAGCTGGAAAGAATGAAAAAAAAAGAATGGAGGAGAGCACACATGTTCACCTTATCAACAACAAACTATATGTAATAATAAATTTTGCTTGGAAGAATTATTGACTCTTAAGGAATCAAAGCAACACAAGGAGCATGCAACTCAAGTAAAAGGAATACTAGAAAATCAATTAGAAAGAATAATAAAAGGGTATGGAGAGCTCACATGTTCACCTCCTCCGATAACCACATCCTGAACACTTTCAGTAATGCTGGTCCCTGGAGCTTCAACGCATGCTTTCTTCTGTTCTACAATAGCTGGTTTCTTTTCTTGGTCCTCTAAGTTAGCTTTGGCTATTGTATGTACAGAAGTGACCGTTAGATTCGGAGAAAACGGCACAAATCGGTACGGCTCTGCTGGAAATACATGTATATGTGCAATGGCTGCAACAGCCATCTGAAATTACCAGATGCTTCATTAAAAAATATTCAAAACTCAAATTAAAAATTCATACTCACAAGCAGCAGTAGTTCTCATTCTTTCTTTAAGATCAAGAAAAAAAATCGGTCAGTTTCAATAAATACCACCATATATGTAAATTTATATGCATATTTTTAGAATTAAAATTTCATAAAGACAAGCTAAATTATCTTCTAACATGATAAGAAACTGACATCAAACTTACTTCAATGCAGATAAGAAAATCTTGGATGCCGTTCTGAATCTTTTCTTCCTTTGGTAAAATGCCAAAATAACATATCATTGCAATGCCCACACCTTGCCACCAGGTTGCAAACACAATGGCTTTAAAACTAATAAATTTTGCCAAGGGATGGATAGGTTCCAACCAATGATGGGTTACATTATAGAACTGCACCAGACAATACAAAGCCCACATTTGACTAAAGTTTATGACGACAGCAATATACGGGTACCTGCAGGAAATTGCTCAGCCATTTAGCACAGGAAAGAATAAAATAAAGGTTTCCCCTAATGGTTTAAAATGCACATATTTTAAAATTAGACAATTTTTTTACTTATCTCATATGATTATTATTAGATATCTTGAATGACACACACACACACACACACACACACACACACATACACAAATATATATATATATATATATATAAAGCATAAATGCATACCCGTAATACCACTTGAACTCCCCGTCTCCATAAACACCAAAAAGCTCCAACATTAGCGCCAGGAAGGAACATAATGTTTTCAGAATCATCTGGATTTGGAAGAAATGCTAGACAATGTAAAACAATAGAGACACAAAGGAATTAATGTTCTTCCAACTTACGTATTGTACGAGGCCAAATTTAACTATCGAGTATAAATCTTTTCCAAGTATGCTTGGGTTGAAGAAAAAATTATAAAACAAACTATGATGCAATATTCCTTTCTCCTCGTCTCCATTGAGCAACTGCTCTGTGAGTTGCTGTTTACTCGTTCCTTTTTCAAGCAATTCCATGACTCTTTCTTCACCACCTGCATGCAAAAGTTTTGCCAACATGACCAAGTCAAATTGTTGGGCATAATCCGCTCAGAGAAAGTTATAAAAGACAAATGTTATATATATATATGTACATATAATCTCCCTTGAATATTCTCAGTATACTTGAAAACCCAAAGCAGCATGTAACCACAGTAAACCTTCAGATTTTTTTTAGGGAAATCTTTGGATTTACTTAATTAATCAGTTATATGATTCGTAATCATGTCAACTGTTATGGTATGGCTCATATACCATATCGGGACAGACGCTGGATCGAAGCGGAGCAGAGCGGAGCGGAAGAATCTGTCCAAATTGGGAAGTTACGTGGGTTAGGGTGCGGGGGCAAAGCCGTGCCCCCGCGGTTTGGTACAGGGGTAATGTTGTAATTACATATTGTGCCTAGGTTTACTCCTGGGGTTATAAATAGGCCTGTTAGTAACCACCCCAGGAGGTATCCCTGAATTCTGTAAACTCTTTTCTGATTATAGAAAGGAACTCGCCGCTCTGCTCCCGATGACGTAGGCATCTTTGCCGAACCTCGTTAAATCTCTGTGTTCTTCTGGATTTGTGTCGATTACTGTTTTTCTTCGCCCTAATTTTCTCAACAAGTGGTATCAGAGACATGGTTCGAGGGGAAGAAAATTTTCATCGGCGCAGGGACGAAGGAGGATTTGTAGTTTCGGTAGACAAGTTCTGCGACGGAGGAATTCCGAAAGAGCAGGAGAGGGAGCTCAGGGAGAATTTGGAAATCGGGCAACTGAAGGTGTGTTCGGAGTATTGGCTCGGAGCACTGTTCCTGTTCGTGGATCGCACAGTGCAAGGAATCGCGGATCGCGGTTTCGGCGGAGGCTGCGATCGGGCAGAGTGATAAGGAGGTCGTCTCGGGTCTCGGAAAGTTGTGCGCAGGAGGCATCGCGTGGATTGCTGGCAGAAAGGAAGGATCCGGCAGAAAAGAAAAGGAGCGGGCGGGGAGAAGAGAAAGGAATAAAAGAATCTTTTATTTCTACTAGAGGAACATTCCTTCCTATATTTGGCTCCGCTGAGAATCTGCTGGAAAGGAGAAATTTTTCTTGGGAAAGGAAAGGAGGAATTGCAATTTTACCTGAAGCGCAGAATTTTTCCTTTTGCTGCTAGCTTGCGGAGAGCAAATAATATTCCGGGAAGGAAATTCAAAACTTTCCATTGCTGCTAGCTCAAGGAATCTTTGACGGGAGATATTATTTTAGTGGCGACTTACAAGAAGCTCTGGTTTCCGGATTTCTTACACCGGGACTATCTCGAGGTATGCATTCGATTGAAGCTTTCATAACCATTTTTAGAAATTAATTTGATATAATTTAGTTCATTGAATTATCATAATATTATAATGTTTATTCTCATATAGACGTGCTGATTTTATTAAAAATTTTGTAACAATAAAAATTATATTTATTTTCTGTTATATGAAAATTTTAATGGATTCAAGAATATTAGGGCTCTTATGACCTTTTAAATTAATTTCAATATTTCTTAAAGATATAGCATAAGTCCAATATTTTGATGGATGTCATGAGATCTTCTAAATTCTTTGGCTTTTCCCAACGAAATAATATTTATTAATTTATTTTAAAATATCATTAAATATTTGTTAATTTATTTTAAAATATCATCAACATTGAAGTATTATCGCATGAGATAATTAGATATCTTATAAAAAATTGAACTAGAAAATTTTGATTCAACATTGACAATATATTTCAGCCATTGGAAAAAAAATATTAAATGAGAATAATGTATACTGTTTGGATATTATTCTTTATTTTTAGCCTTATTGATATGCACGAATATTCTCATTTAAAAAGTCAATATCAAAAATAATTTTTAGCTCATGAAAAAAATTAATCAGTTTTAACAAAAATTTAACTCTATGCTAAAGTAAATGGAATATTTTATGGCTTGTAATTTTTTTTTTCAATTTTGGTTAGGCTGAATGTAGTATTTAGGTTTAGTTTTTATTTTTATTTTTATTTTGGAAGCATTTGCATATATCCCACTCAATTCCTATGTATTTTCATATCCTGTTCTTAAATTGTATTTTTTATATTTTCACCCCCAAAATTTGTTATATCACATCAAAAATAATACAATTTTTTTAAATAATATACATCTTTTCAAGTATAAAATGACTTTATGTCAAAATTGAAATTTAGGTTTTAGATATGTAAATAGATAAGAATTAAGTGGTGTGTATGTAAATCTTTCTTTTTTTTTTTTTTGAAATATTAAGACAACGTTTATTATAATCCTATCAAATAGGAGAACTATTAAATGCAGAGATTCCTGCGAATTAAAAATATTAAATGCAATAGATGAAAAACATTTTAATTTCTTTATTAAATGCAACATTATTTATTTATTTCGTTGGAACTGGTGGGTGCTGGACAAGTTGATTAAATGCAACATACTTCCCCGAAGGAAAGACGACCAATTGCACCTTTATTTGCTCACCTAACTAAGCGCTGGAACGTATTGTCAATGAAAAACACGTTTACATAAATACCACTAAATTCTTATGTATTTTATATATCTAAGATTTAAATTTTTATGTTTATATATATAACATTCAAATCTTCAACATCGCATTAAAAATATCACAGAATTAATTTTTTAAACATGCAATACATATTTTCATCTATAAATTTATTATAATATTTTAAAACTAAATATGAATTTAAGTATTGAATAAAAAAATATATATAAAAGTTGTGTGTTGCTCTTTACAATAAATTAATCCGGCGATCCCGAAAGTATGAGGAAGTGAAAAATAAATGTAGAACATTTCCAAATTTTGTACATCAGTTGGATAAAAAAAAATGCAATGTGAAAATCGATGTATTTGAAACTTGTCTTTTCATTCTGGAAAATTATAGAGTTTAAGCCATATCGGGTTTGAAAAATCATGTAAATTAGAAATTATTTAAGGAGACATTTGTTAAATTTGTCGGCAGTTTATTTCAGGATTTAAACCTCTTAGTGCAAAGATTATTTTAATATAAGTATTGATCGTTGATATTATTATTAAGATTAATTGATTTTGATTATATTTTATTTTCTATTTTAATTATAAGAATCGGTTATTAAGAATTTATTAAGTTAAATAACAATTAAATAAAATTTTAAAGTATTTATAGATTAACAATAATTTATTATTCATTAATTAGTAAAAGATAATATCTTCAAAATAACTATCTCGAAGCTAACTAATTATTAAATTCTACTTAATCATTTTAAAATATTATTAGTTTAACTAAGTTAGTATTTAATTTTTTTTAAATAATATCAATCAGTAATGGGGATTTACATTTTTTTTCCTATTTTAAATATACTCAATAAAATGCAATAAGCATATTACAAAATTTTCATTTATCATTAATCTTGTATTTATAAATTAAATCAAACATAAGGAAATCAAATTAAATCATACATAATATTTATTGTCTACTTAATGTTTTGAAATAATTAAAATTAACTATTAATAAAATTAAGAAAATTTAAGTCTCCTTAAAAATTGAATCCCCTTCCATTTGATTCTATCCAAAAACCATGACACCCTCTTTTCTTTTTTTCTGTGACATTGAACTTTTTAATTTCAGTGTATGGCAAAATTGATTTGAAATCTAGGTTATTTTTACAGCGATTACATACATGCTTTATTATTTAAATAAATTTACATATTTAACACTTAAATTTTTATATTTATTTATTTGGACCTTTAATATTATAATTACATCAAGCATTTCGTTTAAATGTGTTTTTCAGTTCAGAAAAAAGAATATTAGTATAGTAATTTAATGAGAAGTTAAGATTTTGGTCAAGTAAATAATAAAAATTAGATGTCAAATCTCCCTTATTGGGAAATTTTTGTAGGGAGATTTACTTTACGTCAGTAATGCAAATTTAACTGCACTTTGATTAACATTGTTAATTAAGAAATTAAAAATTAAAAGGAAGATGTTACCCTTTAAATTCAACTTTAGGTTGTATGTATGAATCATATATACATCCACTTTAAGTAGACATACCTTTGTTACATTATTGTGTCTTAGTTGTTGCTATTAAAGTTCTTAATGCATGCAGTTGGGGTGATTAACGTCTTATCATAATAAATTATATTGATACTATTACGACTGGAATATTGAGCGTGTATCACGATTAATGGCTCATTTAATATTTGGGAATTAAAGGCTAGTTTGGTATTGGTTGAGCAGGTGATGTTCAGCAATAGGAACGAACGTGCGGAGCTGCTGGAGGGGCTCCTAAGATGCAACAAGGATGACCATGTTCCGAATTTGTCTCAGGTGATTTATTAAGAAGTAGATTTTTTTTTTTTAATCTTATTTTTTACCATCGAATAACATCAATTATCATATCAAATTATTCGCATTAAATTGTTTTACAAGAACAATAAAGTTAAATTTTATGCCTTTTTAAAATGATTTAATTATAAATAAAAGGCCCATTTGACATCACTTTTATTTTTTTATTTGGTTTTATTATTTTTTAATATTTGAAACAAATTTGATTAGTAAAGTTTGAATATTTTTTTCCATTTTTAAAATAAATTAATTTATTTTTAAAAATACTCGAAAATTAAAAAAAGAATTTTAAATGTTTTTAAAAACAATTACAATAACCTGATATATTTTAATTTAAATAAAAAATAGAAAAAGAAAAAGTTAAAAATTCAAAAAATACGAAACAAACATTATCAAATAACACTTAATTAAATAAATTTAATACTCTTGTTAATTGTTTTAATAATAAGATAAATAATTAATTAAATTTAATGCTTTAAATTTAAATTATAATAACTGAGTCTTCTAGTATATATTTTCATACTATTTGATATTTTTCAGGGATTTAATTTTTTTAAAAAGTACTAAGAAGTAATTTTTTTTTTTTTAATGTAATTCATGCAGTGCGTTCTTTCAAGCCACAACTAAAAAAAAAACCTAATTTTTGGCTCATTAATTAGGATTCACTTTCTTTCATTGTAAGCTAACAGCTAAATTACTATATACAATAAATTAATCAACAAAATCATGCCCTAAAAATAGTTCAGAAACCTTTCTTGAAATATAGTTTGATTTTTTTTTATCTCAATGCCATGTTTAAAAATTCTAGTGCACAATAAATAAAAAGGTTAAATTACATTTTTTATTTATATTTAAATCATCTAAAATTTTTACAATACGTTGACATATTATTATCTTAACTTAAAAACGGTTAAATTACATATTTTCATGAATAGATAAGAGGATGTGTAAAAGATAAAGTTTAGAAAAAAGATATGTAAATACAGAGGATTTGAGTGGCATCTGTAAATAGTTGATCAGAATTAAATAACAGAAGAGTATTTTCTTGGGCAAAACTTAATAATAATAATAGCCTAATCAGATTTTGTCGAAAAATATTAATGATGTGGTACATGCCTTTATGACTGTTGGATGAGGCATAATGGCGCTCAACTAACGCGGATTAAGACCTTGGTGCGTGATTTAACTTTCAAATTTTTAACCGACGATTTCGACAAATGACAGCGACCTGCTTTGAAAATAAAACACAATTACTACAATACTTATTTTTTAAATGATCGAAGCAACATCGAATTTCGAAGTGCAATAAGTTTTTGTGTGTTGAAATTTTTAACTGATCTAACACGGCATGTGATGATGTCTTCATCTTTTTTCTTTTTTTTCTTTTTTTTGTGGAGTTCTTGGGATTTAATCTCACATAATCAATCCCTAACTCGGTCCACAAATAACTATTGATTTTAAAATTTCGTTGATGTTGTATTTATTTGCGCTGTTGACCAAACACAAAGATATATTTATATATATATATATATATATAGATGCACACACACACTGCGCGTGTTGTCTTTTTTGAAGAAACAAAAACTCTATTTGTTATTAGCAATGGTTAAAAAAATAAAACATGCAATCTTTTTTTCAACCAAATGTGGGGAAGAGCAATTTTCAAATCAAAATTTCCACAATTTGTTTCTATTTTGCTTTTTGTCTCTTTCCGGGCCTTTATATTATATAGGATCAATAAAAAAAAAATCCCATTTATAAATATCTTACAACTGGAGGGTTTTAAATAGATGATGCGGACACATTTCGCTAAAGTTTTGAGCATGAACCATGTAAATATATAAGAATAATGCGGTACGTATGTAAATGCCCCAATAGAAAAATATATGAAGCTACAAACATAATAAACTTTCAATATAATAACAGTTAATGGTACATAACTTAGTTGGTAGAAGTTTTGCAATTGAAATATTTAATTTGTCATATTGTTTAATCGAATCAATTTAACAATTCTTGAATTATAATGTATTATAAGAATGTTGAAAAATGATTTTCATAAAAGTGATAGAATAATTTATATCTTATAATTTGAAAACGCTAAATAATAATATAATATGATCAAGTAATATAATATGATCAAGTGGAACTATTAAATAATGAAATTGGATTGCTACTAATCATCTTTCAATTGAATAAGTGTAAATGGATATCTCATAACACCCCTAAAATGAAAATGGGCTTTATTTTTTCACTTGATAAAAAATTTTTTTTAGTTGGACTAAAATAAATAATACATGAAAACTAATTATTCAGGCTTCAATTCATATTATTACTCATGTGATTATTTAGAGTTGCTTTGTCAAAAAAATGCCTTAAAATAAATGAAGGAACTTTAAATAAATTTAATATGTTTTTGATTAAATGATAGGAAAAGCTAAGGGGCTCTTTGGAATCACTATTATGTTTATTTTCCATATTTTTTTATTAGAAACAAAAGCTATATTTGATTAAAGTATGATTGCTTTTAAAATACTCAATACATCAAAAAGTTATTTTTTGTTATATATATATAAATATATATATATATATATACACACACTAAACTTAAAAACAAAAGAAAAGCAAACAGAAATAAAAAAAAATTAATTTAATTCAAAAGAAGCCCTAAACAAATCACAAAATCATTTTCACTTAGTTTTATATTTCTTGCAAGTGAGAAAATCAATTTTCTAAGGAATAAATAAAAATATTATTATTATAGATTGAGTCTAAGTTATTTTCATAATCTAATAGTTCTATAAATTTATCAATTTATTAGATTATATTATTATATCAGGAAGCTTGATATGCCATCCAAAAATCCAGTGAATCACACAAAATTTGTAGTTCTTAAATTAGAAAGTCTTAGCATTAAATTTAGAATGATCTTACATTTAATTTAAGCAAACTAATGGTCTAACCGGATGCCCTGACGAGACAAACCCTCAACAACAAAAATAATATGATTTTAGTCTAAGTAAGACTAAATCATTAACTTGAGGTACTTTTAAATTTATGTGACATTCTTTGAAGGGACAAACAATCTATATGAATCTTACATGCTTATAGTTAAATCAAATGTCTTGATAAGAGAAATCCAATGAGCATAAGTTCAATCATTATAAGATTATTAATATGTCAATTAAATAAATTACTACGTGTCGTTTTATATGTTGTGACATTTTAGTTAAATTTGTCAAAATATCATTTGTGTAAATTATAAATAGAGAAACATTATCTACTTGAGAGTAGGAGATATATGAGTTTGAAGATAGTTCGGAGATTTCACGAGCTCTATAGCTCTGCCTAATAACTACTATTGAACCCTTAGTAAGCCTTAGGTAGTTTTCTAAATACCCAGTGAAGGCCAACTTAGAGCAAATCCATTGATAGGTCATTCTACTTTTATCCTTTTAAATGAAATTAAAGTCAATAAACTAGGGTTAAAAACCAAGCAGCTAAGGCCCAAGCTAGCCCTGCGGCAACTATAGGACCCGTAGATAAAGTGATCATAAATTGAATCACACCTAAACTCTCCACAGAGTCATAATGGCTTGGTCAAGCCTACTTAAATCAATTCAATTCTTCCTGAACCTGTAGGGGGGGGGGGGGGGGGGGCAAGGGGGGGGGGGGCCACAAATATTCAAGTATCTCATTTCCACGAGATTTTGGTCCCAATTATTCTAACATGCTTATTTATCACCAAGTGCTATTATTAACTCAATTCAAAGTTTCTAAGCCCATGGCCAATTCAGCTTGACTATGTTGCTCCAATGTTGATAAATCAACAGTATTACGATAAATAAATGTAATGTTGAAAATTTTGTTAAGAAAAAGTGCACTGATCATTTCTTTTTTTGAACTCAATTTAGCTCAAATTGAAATTAAAATCTTCAATTTTGATCTAACTAATTTACTCAATTCAATTTTGTTGTAATAAGAAAATCCTTTAAGAATAGTTGACTGCGCTTCATAATCCTAATGTTGAAAAGCTCAGCGTCATTAAATTATAGGGAAATTACAAGATATATTTGGAATCAAATAAAAACTGCATAGTTTATAAATTTATTTTATATTCTAAATTTTTGTTAAGCTGCGGAGAAAGAAACAAACTTCAAACTAAATTTGGCAGTTTTCAATTCATATCTCTAAAGCCAAAATCAAATCAAAATAAAACTCTCTTTGGGTCAGCAATGATCTTCCATTCCACATTTCATGGTTTAATTCTATTCCAAAATATCAATAATTTTTGAACTAAACAAGACTAATTCTGTCCGATTTTGACAGCAAACCATTTGCATTCTACACATCAAAAAAAGGGGGGAAATTAACATAAGTAGCGCCAATTCTTATGCATTTACATATTTCATACTTAAACTCTCATACTTACATTAACCTATGCAGGTGTATTTCACTTTTAAGAAGTGTTAATAGTGATATTTTTAATTGCCAGTAAGGATTTGAGTGCTCTGTGTATAAATTTCAATGTTTGAGTGTGAGATATGTTCTATGTATCTTTCACACAGTTCTTCTAAGCTATTAAAACAAGTAATGAACATAATCCCTGGCCCATAAACTATTACACCAAAATGAAAGTTCCATTACTCATCTTAATTACAAAAATATAATAAAGAAGTTTATCAAATAGCAGAAAGAAATCATGATAATAATAAAGAAACACCTGTAACATACCTTGTGAACCAAGAAAATGGCTTCTGTACATATGAACTTAGTAATTCCAATGTTTCAAGCGCATGAGAAAGTTTTGAAGTAAAACGTCTACGGTTGACGGCGATTTGACCTTAGCGATTGAAAATGAGCAGCAAGGGTTTCATAATCAGGGAGTTTTGGATGAACATGAGAGGCTTTCTGTGACTTAGGTCCACCACCAGAAACTGATGTTCCACGCTCAAGGATTGTTTCTTTATCATCAGTCTGAGAAGGGAGTTCAGGTGCAGAGCTCCGGCGAGATGGCCGGCTTTCAGTCCCGGAGTTTGAAATAACAGAACTAGAAAGATTGGGTCGACCCTTCGAGCTTAAATCTTTAGTCCGACGAGATAATTTGAATGTTGTCTTGGAACTTGGATTTCCTTGACCTTCCATAACATCAGAATCAAAATCAGTCTCCGACAACCGGGAGCTCAGTTCCTTGTAGGGCAGGGTTCGCGGTTTCTCATCATGGATCTTCTGATTGATAATTTCAGAGACCTGCTTTGATGGGTTTGGATCTGCTTCTCTAAGGTTGGAAACAGACTGCTTTAGACTAAATCCAGTAGTATCTTCTTCTGATTTATCTGTGCTTAAGGTTTTGTTGCTTCTGATTCCCTGGTTGTATTCATCTGACACAGATACTTTATCTTTGTCAGATATTGGATTAGTAGAAGCTCCTGGCATTATTGGATTTGATGATGGCTCGTCCTCAATCAGATAACTTCTGAAGGGTGGAGATATTATTTGTTTAGTATTACTGCCCAAGGCTTCTGTTGATGGCTCAGGCGAATCAATCACAGAGCTTGATATATAAGGTGGATTGTTGTAACCTCGGTTTCTTAACCCACCAGTTAATCTTCCAAATCTCAGCCCGAAGTCGCCGCCATTTGCAAGTTCATCCAGCATTTCAGAATCTTTGATGCCCGAGGAAGAGGACATTTGAAGGTGATTCCTTTCTTCAGTTCCCAACATAGGTTTAGCTTTTGTTGAGCTTGAAGGCTGAAACTCTTGTTGAGAATGTAAGTCCTCACCCAAACAACCTTTTTCATGCAGCAAAGTACTGTTCTGAGCAGTTCCATTCTGCCGAGAACCGCTCATTCCATTATCACTTTCTGAACTGAGACTGTCTGAATCATCAAATGCAACAGGAATGGTGTCATCAAATTTTGAGGATGGAACTTTTTCAACAGTTATACGGTGATTTTCGTGGTGAGAGCTGCTAAAAATGCTGGAATTTAAAGAATTAGTATATGGGGCGAACATGGAAGTATGATGATCATTCTGTTTTTTATCAAACGAATCAAATAAGTTTTCTTTATCATCTGCTGGTTCAGGATCATACTCATCAAAAACTGCAGCAGGATAGTCACTTGAATCAAGTTTCTTACTGTCATATCTGAAAAGCTTTTCTCTGGCATTAATTTCATGTCTGTCAGATAGCTGCTTGTCGAGAGGTGGAATCCAAATGGCGTCATCGTCATGAGTACCGACAAAAGAACTAGCATGAGCTGATCCATCATAGTTCACTTCTACATTTTTTTCTAAAAAGCCATCTTCATCATTCTTCTTTTTGTTCCCAATTTCCATCCTAGAAAAACTTCCCCGAAAACTATCAAATGTCCTCACAATGTCCATTTGAGGACTATACTCTTCATCAGAGGTGCTGCTATGATGTGAAATTTCTTCTCTCAATTCATCACAGGGAAACCTTTGCATGTCTTCTTTCATGCCTTGGAAGCCTTTGACTTGATCATAATCATTATTTACAGATTCAACTCCTTTGAACTTTGAGCTCAGTTCTCTCTTTGGGTTCTCATCTCTGCTAATATGCAGAGATGATCGATTTGGCTCATTAGAATTCTGTCTGGAAATGCTTCCTCGACTTGCAAGTTCAGCAGCAGCTCTGGCAGCTATGCTAGCCCTTTCTGCAGATTCAGCAGCCACTTGAGCAGCAGAGGCTGCATCCTTAAAATCCATTCTCCAAGTTGGTTGTTTAAAAGCAGCAGTCTCAGCACTTGTATACGAATCCCTTACTTCCGACAGCCCCGATTTCCCATCTGTTAATAATAATTGTAAAACCATCAAACCATACATGAACGAGAAAAACCATTGCTTCAGTGTAAGAAAAAAAAGTAATTATGGCTTCACCTGATTCCCCGGACTGATTTGGAGCAGGCGGAGGTACCACAGGCGTAGTCCTCAAGTTAGCAGAAGAGGAACTGAAACTAACTGGTTTGCTAGGTATGTCAGATTCATAAGCTTTTGAGGCTGATTCCGTTTGTCTAGCATTTGGAGTAAATTTGAAATTTAACGGCTCCATTGGCATCTTATTAGCACCCGTGAAACTACTAGAACCATTCTACAAAATAGCAGAGTAAAAAACTTCAATTTTAAAGGCTACTGTTTCAGCTATGAAATAGATTAACGTTTGATTAAGCAAATACAAACCAGCAGGTCCTCCTTAGGCTTCTGCAGTTCCTCCTCAAATGCTTTTGAATCCCATTTGACTTCATGCTCTTTAGCAATCGCAGTTAACGTCTTCAGTTTTATCTCCGTTTCAGGTGTTTTTGCTGATAATTTTTCAACTATCTACATGCAGAGAAGGCTAAAAAATGAACAACCAATAGAAAACAAGGACTAAATCAAATGGACACCAAATAAATTTGTCATCAACTACAACATGTTCATCATTGCAAAAAAGGGGGGAACCAGAACTGACCATTCGGTTAACACCACAATCTGGTCGAAGTTCAAGTGCCGATATGACAAATTCTTTCCCATATTTCGCCACAAGCTGTTTTTTTACATCTGTAAGTTCTGGTATATCTGCACACCTTGGGGATGCAAATATCACACTAGTTATCGCCTCCTTTAGATCAATGGGACAGCTCCTGTAAAACTTATAACATGAGTTTTGAAATCTAAGAAAGCAGCATAATGCATGGGAAAATACATATCCATGATGCAAATATCACACTAAGAAATTGCCTCATGATCTAAAACAAGTAGATAATACATAACGTGTTACAGAGAAGGCATAAAATAAAACTGCAAACCCAAGTGCTATTTACAAAGCCCAAGAAAGAAAGCATGTATCCTATTCAAGCAAAATCTAGTCTGATATTGTTTTCTATATAAAACAAATCATGAATAAATTCGATTGTGAGTACTTCTAGAATCAATTAAAGGAAATATAAATGTCATCATTCGTAACTACTGAATATGTTACAACATACAAAGAATGATATAGACTCCATCACCACTTATCAGGAAATATGTTAAAAAGCTTATGCCTGCAAATGTTAGGATGCTGAAAACCTATGCTTCTATTATTAAGGCTTCGAAACTAGAAATCAAAACCACACAATAGAATAGAATCGCCCTAATTCGAGAATACAGGAATAAAATATTCAAACGGAAGCACTAAGAAAATAATACAAAAAAAGCACACTAGGATTTAACGTGGAAAACCCCGAGAACGAGAAAAAATCAGGAGCTACACCACCAAGAAATTTTCACTATAAAATACAAAAATGTACTAAATACTCACTCAGATCTCATAAGACATAAGCACACTAAAATTCTCATCTCTGACACTTATCTGCTTCAAGAGAATCCTTGTTGAAAAAACCGCACGCAAAAGTCTGATGCTTCATTGCTAGAATGGAGAATTTAAACCGAAACAAGAGAGTAATGCACCTTGCATGCCCGCACTACTCCTTGGCGCGAGAATGTTGCACCTTCTGTAACTGGCACATAGGCGCTTGATAGACGGTGCAAGGGCGCTGCAAACTCCAGTACATGCGCATCATGCCCTCTGTCTACAGTCCCAGACGCACCGTTCAGGCACGAGTGCACCGCGCTTGAAATACCTGTGTTGCTTGTGAGGCTTCCTTGCGGTTATGGGTGCAATTTCGTGCTCCACACCTCAACAATCTCACTTAGAGACTGAAAGCACCCAACACCTGTACACTAGATCTACAACTCCATTTGTAGAATTATCATAGTCACATATGGTGCTCCCGATCTCAACATTCATAGACTCCAATTGAAGCCCAGCATAGCTCAAGTTTCTAGATAGCCACCACCTTCGTGAACATGTCCGCAGAATTTTGAGTTATGTATCTTCTCCAAAAATAACTGCTCATCTTTTCGGAGAGAGAATATAAAATAATATCTCAACTAAATGTGTTTTGTCATGCCATGAAAAGCAGCATTCTTAAAAAAATGAATTGCACTCATAATGTCACCATGAAGCTTTATAATTTCCTTCTCCTTGCCCAATTCTGTCATAAAGTCCTGTAGCCAAATCATCTCATTGCTAGTCTTAGGATTCAGCCTTCATAGTTGAAAATGCAATAATCTTCTGTAGCTTGGAAACTCAGCTCACCGCTATGTTCTCAAAGTGAAAATCTACACTATTGTACTCCTACTATCAAAATCTTGTCATTTTTGAATCTACAAATCCTTATAGACTAATCTCTGGACTTCTATAGCAAAGTGTCCTGTTGTTCCTCTCAAATACCTGAAAAATTCACTTCACCGCTACCTAATCATGTTTTTCAGGATCACCTATATACCTACTGACCACTCTCACTGCATATGCAATATCTGGTTTGATACAAATTATAACATACATCAGACTTCAAACTGTTGAAGCATACTGAGTTCTCCCCAATATGTACTTTACTTCATATTTAAATGACAACTTCTTAGATAGCTTGAAGTAGATACTTAAAGAGATGCAAATTGCCTTTATATCACTCATGTTGAATTATTATAATATCTTCTCAACATACTCTGCCTGAGTCAACTTCATTATACCTAAACTCATGCCCCTACTAATTATTATCTTGATGAATCATCTAGTTGGACGTAAATCTTTGAGCACAAAATCACTTGATAATTGCTCCTTTAAGTTTTTTATTTTCTCCATATTTGTTCATACAACCAGTATGTCATCAATATACAAAAGAAGTATGATATAACTCATGTTGACAAGGGACACATGTGTAGTCTACTTTCTGGGTAATGGCAATGTTGTAATTGCAAAACTGGATAAAAATGCTTTGTTTTGCATAAGCATACAACAAAACACAAAATGATATTTTATAGTTAAGTTTAAGATAGATTTTCATACGAGGGAGTATAAGTGAATCATACATATTGTCATGTATACATAAGTATACAAGAAGACAAAATGATCTTTCATAGTTAGGTTTAAGATAGATTTTTATTCTGAGGGAGTTTAAGAGAATCATACATATTGTCTTCCTAAAGCAAGGAGCATGAAAAATGAAATAGGTAATAAACTAATCGCACCTGAACTCAGAGGGAGATTAGATAAATCAATGAAAATTAAGAGGGGTTTTAGACAGCTATAAATTCATGAAGAAGTTGCATGTAGATCAAACACAAGATTTGCAGCACATGGTCAGTCAAGCCACAAAAAGAAGACATGTCAAAGTGACCCGGCTGATCCATCGCACTCAAGAAAACTTACAGGTCATTGACAAGGGGCACACATTTATAGTTTAGTTTTCTACCCATAGGCCACTTCAGGAGTGCAATACTGGGATAGTAGTTGAATAACCCTAGTAAAATTGTTTCATTTTGAAATACACAAAAATGTCCCAAAATGATGCCCCTATGTTAAGTTTAAAATCTACGCTTTTAGAAGAGCATAAAAAGGAATTATAAATGTTATTTTTCATTTAAAGAGCATGGTGCATGCTGAAGATGATTTGCACCAAAAATAGGATTTCGGGTAGAACAATGAAAAATAACAGGGATGAAGGAGAGTTACAAATAGATGAAGAAGCTGAATGCAAATTGAACATGATCATTTGTAAAATGTTGTTGGTTAGGCAACAAGAAGAAAATTGACGAAAGTTCACCATTGGCATCAGTACAAAAATGAAGCATGAGACAAGACTAAGAAAATTTACCTTTTCTACTCAACTACATGTTGAAATAATTATCAGTTTATTAATTTATGTAAGGCATAGAAGTATGAATCATGGAAATGAAGCTGGATGAGTGAAATAATTGGCTACGAAGTGCACAATGATGGCACAGCCTCCTCACAGTGTCAAGAAAAGATGGCCCAAATTTAGGTAAGTTCTTACGGTGTAAGGATAGTGTTTAATGCAAGAAGCATTGTGCGATTGAAGCTAGTTTTCACTTCTTTAAGTTATATTGTATGTGCCTATGTTTTAAGTTTTCACTATGCTTAAAGTATTACCTATAATGTAGCTCGGCGTTCACTAACAATCCAAGTGCTAATCATCAAGTTGTCTTAGCTGGCATGGTGCAATGACCCAATGAATAAATCAAATTTATATTATTGTATAATAACTTCTTAGAAAAAGAAGTATAAATTTGACACATTTTCTCATATCACTGCTACATTCCTTTGCAGAATGTGCCAGTCTAAAGTTATATAGGCTAACCTCTTATTCAACTAATCCAGTCCAGCTTTCAGTTTTAATAGATAGTTCGGCACTTCTATGTGTTCTTTGACTTTATCTTTGCACAAAATGTTTGTGTTCAGATCATTAGACATTAGCTTGGATCCATAAGGGGCACAATTGCAAGTCACTGAAAGAATACACAATATTTGCTGCCAAACGTACGAGAAAGCTTGCTATGCAATACATTTTGATAGTTTCACCATTGCACTTTGGTCAGAAATGCAAAACCTAGTCTGGAATCTCAAATGTAAAGGAGAAGAAATGTTGGCCATCTTACTTTGATAAGAAAGAATTTACTCAAAAAAAACTAATCTGTACATCCATAATATGGCCTTAAATAAAGTATTACAATGTTTTAAAAATAAACCCTCTACTTCTTCAATATTCCCTTTTTACAAACAGGACACAAAATAAGGTCCCTCAAGACAAGAAAAAGATATCCACTAAGCCCATCTTGTCACATAACCTAAGCAAATCTAATGAACTAAGTCCTTTAGTGAAGCAATCAGCCACTTGCTCTCCAATAGTTACATGACCTAGCTCTACTATCTCATTATTCACCTTTTCCTTGATGAAGAATCAATCAATTTCCACATGTTTGGTTCTATCGTGTTGTACCAAGTTGTTAGCAATGCTAATTGTTGACTTGTTGTCGTACCAAAACTTCATTTGAGTTCTTTGGTCCACCTTGAGCTCGACCTACATGGCTCTCAGCCACATCATCTCAACAACTCCTAAGGCCATGGCCTTGTACTTTGTCTCAATTGTTGACCTCACTACTACATACTGTTTCTTGCTCTTCCAAGAGACCAAGTTGTCCACCACGAACCTGTAGTATCCTAATGTAGATCTTTTGTCATCTACACAACTAGCTCAGTCAACATCACAAAAACTCTCAATGTGTACATGGTCATTCTTCCTAAAGATCAACCCCTTCCCTGGTGTACACTTCAAGTACCTCAAAATCTAACACACTGAATCCATATGGCTCTTCCTTAGATCATGCATGTAGCGGCTCACCACACTCACTACAAATGAGATGTCAAGTCGAGTGTGGCATAGATAGATCAGAAGGCCCACCAATCTTTGGTACCTCTCACGATTCAGTTCTCCTGCCTCTGCATTTAGCTTGGACTTCTGGTCAATGGGAGAGACTGCAAATTTACACCTCACCACGTCTGTTTCCATGAGGAGATCTAGTATATCCTTTCTCAAGGACAAGAACATTCCCTCAGGTCCACGGGTCACTTCAATCCGAAGTAAATATCTGAGTTGCCCAAGATCCTTCACTTCAAACTCATTGCCTAATCTTACCTTTAGTTGGGCGGTCTCTGCCTTATCACTAGTGACAAGGATGTCATTAATATACACAACAAGTATAGTGGTGTGACATTCATATTGTCGAACAAACACTGTATGATCTGCATTGATCTCTTGATATATCATATTCATCATAGCCTTTCTAAAGTTATCAAATTAGGCTTGAGGAGACTGCTTCAAGCCATATAGTGACTTTCTAAGCCTACACACCTTGTCCAGAGTCCGAACTGTACTGAATCCTAATTATATCTCCATGTATGCCTCCTCCGGTAACTCACCGTGAAAAAATAAATTCTTCACACCTAGTTGTTGTAGCCTCCACCCACCATTCACTCGAAGAGAAAATAGTTTCCTCACTATGCTCATTTTTGTTGCCGGTGCAAAGGTTTCATCATAGTCAATGTTATAAATATGATTGTACCCTTTTGCCACCAATCGTGCTTTATACTGCTCCACCTTCCATTTTAGAGTTTGCGTCACTGAAAATATCCACTTGCACCCAATTATTTTTCCCCCCTGGTAGTGGAATTATCTCACATGTTCGGTTTTTGAGTTCTAAGCTCTTCATGCATAGTTGTTTCACATTTGGGATCCTCATTAGTAACTTGCCAACACTTGAGTTTAGAGACAATGTTCAAAAATGCAATGAATGCTACAAGTAAAGGTGATATATTAAAATATGAAACAAAGTTAGCAATATAATATTCCCACCCAAAACTATCGAGAGAATGTCCTGCATTACTGCGAATGGTCCTCCATAATGTTGGGGGGTTAGGAGAAGGAGAAATCATATCAAGTGGGAGTTCTGAGTCGGAGGTGGATGATGTAAGTGACTCTTGGGTTGGGAAAGATTGTGATATAGGACTAGCTGACACAAGTGGTACTATTGGTGTTCTTCCCTCATTTGACTTCCATCTCCATGTATACACCCTTAGCTTACCTTTAGCTTGAATTCAACCATCTTTAGGTTCACTCTCCTCATTTTTCTGCTCCTCAACTGATTCATCCCACATCACAAGACAAGCCATTGGTCCCACGTGCGTCACTCTCTCACCACTGCTACTCACCCTTTGTCTCATATTTCCAATATCTAATGAGTCACTGAAGAGTGACGTTACAACTCCTAGGTGTAGTATGATTGAAATTCTACAAATGACACATTCATGCTTACAAATAGTTTCTTCTCTATTGAGTTCTAGCAGACACATCACTTTTAAGTAGCAAAATAATTTGCAAATACACATTTCACAACTCTACGATTTAACTTCCCTAATGATGGCCTGTTATTCTTCACAAAACATACATGTTCAAACACCTTCAATGAGAGGATCTCACTATTATCTTCTTTCAACATCTAACAAAAAGATTTCAAATCCAACACACTTGATGACTTTTTGTTGATCAATTAAGCAACTGTCAAAATTGCTTGACCCCATAAGTATTTTGGGACATTCATTGCAATCATCATGTTTTAGGCAACCTCTAAAAAGTATATATTTTTCTCTCTGCTACTCCATTTTATGTCGGTGTGTTGAACATGTGGTTTGATGATGTATCCATTGGGCTGACAAGTGTTTCCCTATTGCTTTATTGATATACTCTGTTCAGTTATCAGACATCAATAGCTTTGCTACTGTATCATAATGAGTTTGGATTGCATTGTAGAAATCTTTAAAGCAATCCAACGCATTACTCTTATTTTTCATCAAATGTAACCAAGTAACACACAAAAAATAATAAATAAAGGTCACAAAATATCGATAATCAATCATAAAATTTATAGAACAAAGTTCTCAAACATCATAATGAATCAAGTCAAAAATATCAGAACTCCTATTTCTAGAACAGATATAAGATCTCCTAATATATTTGCCAAACTCATAAGCATCACATAGAAGCTTTCGTTTTTGTCTTTTCATATAAAGAATGATGCAACCGACTCAATAAACTAAAATAAGAGTATCTCATCTGTCTGTGATGTAGCAGCAAAACATCCTTCAGGCTCCTCCCAGATTCTCCTACTATAGCACTCTCTACCATTGATATCAATGTTAAATCCATCCCCTCTCGGTTCAAGTATTAAGTCCACCATGCCACGTTCTAATGACAAGTGTCTGGCCCGTCCCTTTCTCTTGGAAGATCACTTTAGAAATATCAAAAGAAATAACATATTTTAGTTGACGAATGACATTAAAGGATAAAAGATTAACTGAAAAATGAGCATATAAAATATTGAATAAAGTCATACAATTGGTACTCCTTACTGTGTCCTTATCAAATACTTGTTGTGATGTACCATTAGCAGTCTGAATACTCTCTGGCACTGCTAGGAGAGTATAAAAAGAAAACTCTCTAAAAGTACTTGTCACATGTTAAAATGCATCATAATCTACTATTCATTATGATGATCCTGTGATGAAAGTATAGGTAAGAGCATGTGTATCACGAGCACTTTTATCAGAGGAAGCGTAAGTGGCAATGTTACCCTTTGATGATGATTGGTTAGAAGCATCCTCAACCCCATCTACTTGTTTTTTGCTTCCTCTTTAATAACTCCAGAAACTCATTATCCTCATTGGTAAAAATCAAACATGTCTCTCCCTCTACTACAATTACATTTGTTTGGTAGCCCCCTTTCTTCACTTTTTTTATCACTACGACCACAACCATGGCATTCACCATGCCCACGTCCATCTATTTCTCTCATTAGGTGGCCTAGGACATATATTGCTTAGATGCCCGACTTCACCACAGTTGTAGCACTTGTGAGTCACTCGGTGGACACTAATCATACCTAAGCTCGAAGCAGTCAAAGCTGATATCAAGGACCCATAAGTCCACTCGACTTAGAGTATAACTTCATGCGACTCTTCTCTTGTATCACTGCAGCAATGATCTCATACAGTGAATAGATAGTTGCATCCAGTGAAGAGCTAGGAAGACTAATCTCCTCTGATCAAAAGTCAGGTTTAGATAGTCCAAAAACTGCATAGTCATCATCTGTGTAAGGATCTCCCATTTCTTACACTCTTAATCACCACAACTCGACATCGGTGAGAAGTGACCAAGATCTGTCCACAGAGCTCCAAATTTATGATTTATTCCTAAATCGATCTCACCCTATACCACTATTTTTATCTCACACTAAATCTGAATACCATCATGTCGTTCTCCGTCCCCGCATAAATTCTCTTTAGTTTTGTTCAAATGTCCCTCACCTCTAGAATGTCATCTGTTAAGAATGCAATTGACAAAACTATCGAGTTAAGTAGCCAGATGCAGATTAAGGTGAGTGTGGTCCTCTACTTATCCCCCTCAGCACTATCATTCTTTGATCCGTCCCTGGTCAGATATCCCTCCAGTCACTTCCTACTAGAGCAGGATTGACCTGAAGCGACAAACTTAGATACATGGTTAGTCCATCAAGCTTTAGATCCACACAAGAGATCTAGCTACACTTGCATCAAAGCACGCACCCAGATAGTGGCTCCCATCGAAATGCCAACACCTTTATGAGCCCGACCAAGACCTTCAGAGCTTCAGGATCTAGCTTTCCCAGAAGCTCCAATTGTTTACCTCACGTACTATCTCTATCTCCTAACATCCCCAAACAGAAAAGTTAGTCAAGATCTCACAAAAATTTGATCCTTCGCCTCTATACTGTGTGATCAAGTCGTGGTCTCTGGAAGCCGCGATCTGTACGTTGTAATCACGTTGTGGTCTTTGAAAGTCGGGATCTATATGCTTAAAACACGTCTAGTCAATTCCGTTGTTCGCCTTCGTGCGCCGACGTCTCACTTACATTCATGAGCACATAGTAATATCATATGTTCGGTTCTCTGAGAGTCGCGATCCTGTTACCGCTATCGAGTCACCACGGTCCCATGGCCACGATCCTGTTTCTCAATGGTTTCAGGTAGAGTTGGGAAGAAAGGCGAGGGTGCTTGTGCGAGGGAGAAGCGACAGAGAGATCTCGAATGAGAGAAATGGGTAGACAGGCTAGAGAGAAAGAGATGTGATAGCTATGGTTGGACTCTGATACCAAGAAAAAATAATTGCTCAAAAAACCTAATTTGTACGTTCATAACATGGGCTAGGGTATTACAACGTTTTATAAATAAACCCCTATACTTCTTCAATATTCCCTTTTGACCATTAGGACCCTAAATAAAATCTAATTCTCAACACTTCGGTTTTTAATATAGGAGGACAACAAAATTGAAATCAGTGACCCACATGAAAAATTGGAGGTCATGGTTGAAATCATTGGATGATGAGAAGAAATTGCAGTTTTATATACTAGGACTACATTTTTTGAAGTTGAAATATCCAGCATGCATACAATCCTACAAAATAGCTATCTTTAATAATGTGATAAGCAATAGTTGCAACCTTAAAAACCATAAAGTTGGTTTAAAAACCAAAATTAGATGCAAAAATGTGCATGGGACTCAATTATAAAGTTTGCCAAAATATAGATCAACATGAAGCAACCACATAACCTCTAGGACTCAGGAGATATTTACCCTAAATCTTAATCATAGATATGTAGATAGACTTTCTAACCCATGCATCTTATCATTTTGTAGGTCTTCAGAAAGAACAATGTAGATTTGGAAGTGAGAAATCCACGATGGTAATGCAAAAACTTTTTTTCCCTTAAAATGAACTAATTAAAACAATATTGCAAGATAGAGGTACCCAAAAAGTTAAAAAAAATGACACCAACCATGGAGTGATCAAGATCACATGGTTTGAGAGGAAGCACTCCAACTGTAAAATAATAAATGAACAAATTTGAAAAAAAATTCATGCAAACATAGATTACATTTTAAAAGCAAATAACATGAAGACATCAAAAAGCTTCCTTCGATATAGAATTCACACAGAGTAAGAAGAAAACACAAATTTGACATGAACATTTGTTATTAACATTTGATGTTATCCACTACAAGTTTCTATGCTAAAACGGCAAAAGTAAATAGTAATGAAAGGTACAAAGTAATAAATTTCAATGATAACATACTTTTGAGAGTCAATAATAGGCATCCGTGCCACAATTAGTTCACAGTAAATCTCAATAAGATCGTATGCTGACATGGTCTTCTCTTCCCTTATCACATGTTCAACCTAGAAAAACAAACAATGTCAAATGTTAGGGGGTCTAAGTAAATGAACAAGAACACAGAGTCCAACAATTATTCTTAATTACGAACACTTCACAAAAAGAAAAAGTAATAAGATGATAACGAGCTCAAAGCAGGTCAATGGAAGCCGTGCACATTACAAATAGTTGAAAGTCATGGTTTAAACTCAAAAGGTTAAAGCGGCAGAACGTATAAATTGAGAATTGCTAAATTGCCCAAAACATCTGGGCACAAATAACAAAAGAAAGCATAGATTGTTAGATCAGTGTCGACAACGTAAGATGTTAAGTTTAAATTTAAGACGATTAAAGCTTAGAGTTACCGATATGAACAGTCGTTTCATTTACATCTAATGAACATGGGACGTGCTAAAACATTACTCTTGCTTGATTCTACCACTAGTTCATGATTATGTTCACAATAATTCCGATTCTATAATAAGCAGTCAAAGCGTCAAAATTTGCATAGGTAAATAATACTTTTGCGTGATATACAACTATAGAAAATAAAAAAACGCCAGACCTCAATATGAAAATAAGATGAAATAGTAATATATTTGTACATCAAATCAGAACACACTTTTTTTCAAAAAGCACGACTCATATAACCCATTATTCACAACATTTGTTCTGAACAACCTTCCTTCTATAAAAACAGAAATCCAAATTAAGAAAAAAAAAACTGAGATCCAGGCATGTGCAGTTATTAAAGGGTTTCAAAACTGAAGCTCTTAATCCAGTTTCTTTTGAAATCAAAACGGCCCATGTTATCTTTCATGCACAAAAAACAATAGCAAAAAAGCACTAACCCGGATCCTGGCAGTCTGTTCCTGGCCAGTCTCAAGAAGCTGAGCCAATTCCCGCCTCAATTGTTTCACCTGGATATCCCTTCGATTCTTTAATAGCTTTATCCGAGATATTGCAAGTTTCAGAGACGTCTTGCTGCCAAGCAATCCCAAATATCCAAACCTCTTAGTAACTCATATTAAGAAAACTGATCCACCCTTCCATCAGACAGTTAACAAAGACAACCAACCAAGTATCTTATACTTACCATTTCCCCGATTTAAAGCTCTTGGACAGCATCTGTGCAGTGAAGACCTCAATTCTAAACCAAAATCTAGATCAATTCAACTTGATTCAAGATAGGGACGAGATGAGAGAAACAAATCGAAACTAGGGTTCTTAATTATTTAATTTCTTGCGCTCCGCATGGATTTAGTTCGACCTGAAGAAGAAGAATTTAATCCCAGTGAGGAAATTTCGCAGCTGTCTCGGCGACTTCTCGCTCCCACACGCAGGCGACGACTTGTCTTCGTTATTTCGAAGTTTCCACCACGAAGGGATAATTTTGAGCTACCTGGAGCCGAAGGAACATAATTTTTTCTAGGACGATTACACCCCGCTCTCTGGGCCTCACAGCTCAGTATCGTCAGCCTAATATAGTAAAATCATACAGTCAGTTCGTGTCACGCGCCTTTTGGATGGAGGTGTGTTATGTGGAGAAGGCTCCGTTTTTTTTTTTTTTTTAGGCTCATTGAAGCCTTTCGAGGTTTCTTTTTTCAGCGCGATACCGTTCGTCATTTTAGCTGCATGCCGCCCAACTCTTATATATTTATATATTTATGATCAAAATTTTATTTTTTATATTGACTTTTTTATATGCGGGGAAATATTATCAACACGAATCTCAAGTTGATCATATAGTCTATAAGGAAAGAGGTGAAATTAATGACCTTATAGATTTAAAGGGCTCGATGAGTCGATCGGCTGAATATCAACTGGCCAACCAATGGAAAGCCGATCAATTTAAATTTTGCCCAATTTCTGAATAATGTCCGGACAAAAAAACAACAACACCGACCAACTCAGAGTCGACCAGCTACAACTCGAAAGACACTCAGATTCCAGAGTCAAAGTTGATTGATATTTATGAGGAATAAGTCAACCCAAGTCAGCTAAGGGTGTGTTTGGGGAGGCTACTGTTTTTTTCAAGAAGCTGTTGTAAAGATGCCTTCTAGAGAAACAGGTTTCTAGGAGCTATCAAAAAGGAGCTGATGAAGAAGCAGGAGTGCAGCTGGTGAAGAAGCAGGAGTGTGTTTGAGAGAAATGGTGTGTTGCTACTGTTTCTGAAGAGAAAGACTGTTTTGTCCTTATATATGGAATATATTCAAATAAGTACAATTTTTAGAATAATCAGAACTAAATAATAGAAAGAAGTCGTACTACAAAATAAATTAACAATACAACATAAAATATTCTAATGCATAACAAAATGATAGGCTATCTAAAGCAAATAAAAACAATAATGAGGACAAACACAATAATCAACAAGCTTAGAATGATGTTTGTCTTGAAGTTTTGATGATCAAGTATTCGGGACAATCTCCTCTCCATGTCTGCATCTCTCCTCGACTAATCACATTCTGGAGGCAAACTGTCAGTGTCATGAACCCAACAAAAGAAATTGCAATCTGCGGGAGTCCTGTTTCTGGGGCAAGAATAAAATCTTCTCACATTATTGTCTTCTCTTCTTGATGGGTACTGAACACACCTATCGCTATATTAACAAAGCGAAAATTTTGATGTACCAGATGATCTTGAGTCATATTTCATGCAATTATTATACAATATTGCTCTAATTAACAAAAATTATGCAGATATAGCATTCCATAAATTAAAAAATATATAGAAGCAGTCTTAAAATTAAAAATTAAAGTTTATCGGTACAGAAAAAGAAGATACAATACAAATTGCTACAAATATTTTTAAAAAATATACATACAGAGAAAAACATGGAGATGAAATATGAAAAATCAACTACCAATAACTAGGTGATGCTATATAAGTTCATTCATTCACTAAAGCATCAGTAATCTCCTTTTTTAACTATATCAAGATATTGAACCAAAATCGGAGTTCGTCGATACAAGCAACCATCCAAAGCCCGAATCCTTTTGAATTGATACTATCAATTACAGCGAAGGAACTGCCTCAAGAGAAAACAAAGAAGACAACTGAAGATGTAAAGAATGAAGAAGCAAAGAGTAGAGTAGGGGCTACTCCTTATAGATTGGTTGTTTCAGATTTGGGAGAGAAATCCCTCAAAACGTTGACTCTGTATGATTATTTCTTTGTCCCCTCAGGGTCATATAATGCTAAGAGTTTTGATTTCGGCTACATTTTGACTGTTTCTAGTGACGATGTAACTGATAACAACTAATTTAATTTGAATTTCAATTCTAATGATAATTCTCAAATCATACAAATTCTCGATGAATCCATCAATGAAGAACGAGAGGACATTAGCAATATGGGATATGACAGCTCGGAAAGCAAATCACTTGTTCTCAAGCTTCAAGGAGCTCTGATCATGATTGACTCAGAATTCTTAGATTCAGAGATGCCTCCAGAAGAGCCGGTTACAGCTTTAGAATGGGTGCCTCCAAATACAACTCGGAGATTGAAGTAAATAACAGAAGTAAACTTGAGGAATGGAAAAGTGTTACCTCCAAGAGTAGCTCTAAAAGATAAAGAAAAACAAATAGTTGTATAAGAAGAGCCAGTCGCGTCAGTAGAAGAAACACTCACCTGAGAAGAAGCTAGTGAACTGAATAATAAAGTAGACTACAACGTCTAGCCCATCTTCCGAAGTTGACTACCAAATTAAGCATCTACGACGACGCTCTGATCTTGTCAAAGGAGATGAGAGAAACATTGATCAAGGTCTTGCTTGATCTGAAAATTTGCTTAGCGCAATTGGTTAACACCTCCTTAGACGAGGTTTGTTCGTTAAAGGAATAGTCTATGATGACCGATACAAATGAAGACTTGTTGTTCGGTATTGTCAACCACAATTGTCCTTTATATATGTCAATAGTTTAAGTAATCCATCAAACGACACCTTTTAGTAGATCCAAGAGCATCCATCAACTTGGTGAATTAACAGACATTGACCTACTTGGACATCGACACTCACAAAGCTTGTACTTGACAAGATTATGCTAAGAGGTGGTGGTCAGACTTTTGGTCGGTAGCTTTAAATCATATGTTTTTATTTGAAAAATGAGACTAAAATATCTCAAACATTTTAATAGTTTAAGTAATCGAGCACAACACTACAAACAATGCACCTATCCTAGGAATAGGCACATCATTTGATAACGGGTTCGATTAAATAAACTAAAGAATTTATGATATTTGTTTGGTCTGCGAACCTATTTTGTGTGATCGATAAGTTCCCCTGCCTAAAATAAAAATTAGAAAGTGTTTATATTATTTCGGTTCCAAGTTCCTGATCCACCTAAAAATTATCTATTTTTAGTGTACATTTCATGATCATTTTATGTACATTTTTTTATGATATTGGCTTTAAAGGAAAGTATTTTATATGTTTTTAGTTTCAAGTACATTAAATGGACATTTAGAGAAAATTATGGTAAAATGGAGAAAAAATGGAGTATTTTGTATGGCGCCATAGTGCTATCTGTAGAGCAAACCGGGCGCTATAGCATCAAAAACCACTTTCTAGAAGATGTATTGAACTTGGCCAAATTTTGAAGGGGTGCTTGAAGCAACCCTTGGTTATTTTTAGAGATCTATTAAATGGGCAAATTGTGTCACAAAAAGGGAGAATTTTGGAGGCCTTTTGAAGACTTTTAGAGACTTTAAGAAGATTTAGAATAGGATTTGTGTGTGTGTGTGTGTGTGTGTGAGTGAGTATTGTGTGTTTGTGTTTGTGTGAGTAAGAGTTTGGAGATTGCTTGAAGGAGACTCCAAGATTTGCATGGGGAGAAGACTTAAGGTATTTTGTATTTGTGTTTAAGTTTTTGTTGTTAAGACTTGGCTTTCAATAAAAATCATGTGTTTTTATTTTATCTCCATAAATTCTGAGTAGTTCCCTTTATTTCTCCTTGCATATGGGAATTAATCTTAAGGGATAAGAATAATTTAAAGATTTATTTTTATTCTAAAAATTGTGATGATATTTTCACCAATTTTTCATTAACTTTTCAAATTGGTCACTTGTGAGGTTAAAATCTGTTGAGAAACATAATGACCCGGGAGGGTTATGATCTCACCCAACTTATGAATGCCACACTTCACTTTGGAAAGAGACGTCACGATCACCCGTGGGAGAGTGCAAATAGATAAGGAGATAAGTTTTGATGGACGTAGAATTGATGTTTCTATGGTGACAAACTATATTCTTTTATCAATTCAATTTAGAGTTTGGATCGTAAGGGTCCTTATTAGGTCTTATAGAGAGGACACAGTGGGTAGTCTGAAAGTGAGGGGCTAGAATCTACTTAGCACTACTACACAAGCTGGAGACAAACTTGTTCTTTGCTAGCACCGAGAGGGGGTAAAGGATAGGAGTGCTTTTATTTATCATAATACATCATTTTACATTTTTAATCATTCAAATCCTACACTGATTAACATCTCTTTGCAAGAGGAAAATGCTTTCCATAAATTCAAACTCGTTTCTATACTTTATTAGTCTTTTGACCTTTTTTAAACTTTAAAATTTAGTCGTTACTTCCTGTTTAAATTTAGTTTTAGCCATTGTAAACATATCACTGTTATTCTCCTATCATTTTTATCAGCAATTTAGATAGATTTTTGCAAGTTAATATTAAGAGTTATAACTTTCTCCGTGAGATCGATATTGAGGTTTTTAAGGAAAATTGTATATTAGTTCAAACGATACGTATACTTACATAGTACCCCTAGTGTAAAAACTTATTATTTATTTTTATAATCATTTCATTTATTCACACTAGTCACTAAACATAATATGAGACAAGTTTTTGACAATTTTAAGAAATATAAATATTAATGTAATTGCGGGTCGGGTCAAGTTTTTGGCATCGTTAACGGGGAGAGCGACGTAATTTTAACTTTGAAATTATATTTGAATTATAGATTTATTTTTAGGAGAACTAAAAAATAATTAAAGCATTTTTTTATTTTTTAAAAAATTGAAAATTAAAAAAATAAAAAGTTTTTTGAAAAATCTAAAAAAATTAAAAGAACGAAAAATCCAAAAAATAATTAAAAAAACTGAAAAATTAAAAACTTTAAAAATATTTTTGTTTGAGTGTACTATTTTATTTTTTGAACTTTCTTACTTTGTGCATGTGTAGTTCCGGATCTGAAGGTTTAGTGTCTTACGATTCTGAATTAGAACAAACTATAAGAAAAATTAGAAAATAAGGAAGACATCACAATTTTCAAGAAATGACAAACACATCACAAAATAATATTGATATTCAAATTGCATGATCATAATTTACAAAGACCTTTAAGGGATTATGCAAACCATACAGCAGATGAAATTCATTTTAGTATTCAAACCCCTAATGTAGTAGCAAACTCATTTGAACTTAAACCTACAATTACA